AGTCGAGCTCGTTATGGAGCAGAGTTAATGTTCTGTGGTGTCGCAGAGCCCACGCGACGGGTCGACAGCCAAAAATAAATCTGCGAGCAGCCTCAGAACGTGTCTGACCGTGAAGGTGACCCGGTCTGCCGAGCGCGGCCGCGTCGCTGTTTGCTGCCGCTTCAATAATGTTGCTACGGGAACCCCGAGGATCCAATACTGCACACAGAGAGGTGCACTGTGGGAAAGAAACTTTTAAGAGAACTCTGATTCTGTTCTCACACCAGAAGATGTTCTGAGTTCTTCAGCGAACTGAAAACTTCCTCTGATAGATTCACCCAGCTGTGCCCTTCATCATCGTCATCATCACAGGAATTACCATAGACAGAGATGCTGCGTGTGTGTGTGTGTGTGTGTGTGTGTGCGCTTAGACCTGTAAGTGCTTCCTCCTCGTCTTCCTCTGGCAGCAGAGTGGATCAGGTTTCTGTCCTAATGCAGGAGACCAGCCCTTCCTGTGTGTGTGTGTGTGTGTGTGTGTGTGTGTGTGTGTTTACACTCTGCTGACACTCAAAGAAGCAGTCAGGTTGTGTTTTATGTCTCTTTTATTTGGTGAAACATGGCTTACTGTGTTTCACCGATGGAGCGTTGCGGCTGCAGGTCACATGACCAGGCAGGTCTTAGCAAACGCCTTCTCGATTCGTCTGCTCGTGTTTGAACTCGCGCTGAAACTGCAGGTTTAGTTCTAAAAAAAAGTGGTTTAGTTCTAAAATTGTAATACCACAGGCGGCCACCAGGGGAAATTAGTCTCGAGACTAGGAGCCGCCATCACGCCTTTAAGTTAATTGATGCATCCACAGTCTGAAGCTTTGAGCTGCAGGGATTTCCAGATAAGGAGTTTTTTCCTTTAATCATCCTGACGCACACCTGATCAGAAATCAGCTGACGGGACAGGAAGTCAAACCCACAGACTGTATACAAACGATGCGTGTGCTCACACATTGGTTTCTGTGTCGGCATCTTGATGCAGTCCTGCTGTAAAGCTGGATTTTAACAGTGTATAAGACCTGACTTGCTGCTGGAGCCTCTAGTGGACGTCAGAGGAACTGCAGGTTTGAGTGATTTCAGCGCCGGTATTGAGTGAAACTTGGCGAACTGCAGACCTACAGATAGATCTGAGGTTATTTATCGTGCACCTGAATTCAGCGAAAGCGTGACGACGCTTTAAAACGAGTGAAGAGCTTCTTCTGGTCGGTGCTTTGTGGACGGAGAGCAGAAGGTTAGTGAGCTCGCAGCGCCAAATGTCTCGGATTAGTCAAATGCACAGCGATGCTTCCAGCTGCAGCCAATCAGGATGGCAGATGATGAAGCTCGTGCATCGCTCGGCGTTTAACCTTCAGTCTGAGCTTTAATAAAAGCAGTTTTTTAATCACGAGGTCGTCAACGATCAAATTTAACAGTCAGAGCGTTTAATTCAGCATCAGATGTGATGTCACAGCATCACTGCTGATCTCAGGCCGGTAATCCGGGTTTACGTAACTCATCTGACACAGCGAGAGGATTACACACACACACACACACACACACACACACACACACACGTTTCCATCACATTGATTAGTTTCCTGCTGGTCGTCTGCACAGGAAACCGTGACGATTCGCTTCACGCCGTTGTTTTTGTTGCGCTCAGTGTGACGCTGCAGAAAGAGCTGCGTCGTCCCTGCATCAGCAGAGAAAACAAACACAAACACACAAAATGACCCCTGATCTCATGCAGAGCAGGAGAGCGCTTACACAACACGCTGTGGTCTGCAGATGCTCCACGGACGGGTCTCCATCTCATGATCCAATCAGAAGAGACTCTGGTGTCATATCTGTGTGTGTGTGTGTGGGAGGGGGCTACGAACCGGCCCTTTGATGAGCTTCGGGGAAACATTTGAAACCAGCGCTGGATAAACACGGGGAAGTAAAACCATCTGAAGCAGAAGCTTCTCAGAGACGCAGGTTCAGATTTTATCTGCAGAAAACTTTGCGGCTCAAATAAAAACAGGAGTTGTGATGTGACTGATGTGAGCGGCCGGTCGGAGCATTAAAGGTAAAAGCAGCTTCACCAGTTTGTGTTTAATAATCAGCTCTGAGCTGCAGAAGCGCGTCGGTGACGTCACGTGACCGTGAACAGCTGCAGAGTTTATTCTGGATTTATTGCAGCTGATATTCTCTGTAACGCTGCAGCTCTTCCTCATTACTGCGTCCTCCGAGACGCTCCTCGCTGCGTCACACTCGCTGCCAAGCGCCGGCTGTCCCAGCGGGGGCCGCTGCCACGGTTACGGTCCCGCAGGCAGGATGCGATTGGCCGTCTCAGCACTTGTTTACCGGCTGCTGGACTGTGTGGGTGAAGCGCGGCGGCGGCGACCAGAGCTGCTGCGCGTCTGCCAGAGGGTCGAGGTGGGGAGGGATGCTCTGGGGCCCCCCCCTCGCCTGGTTCTGTGGTTGTTTTTCGTAGGTGCTCTC